TATCGGGTATAGTATACCCATGCTATCAAATATATGTCGCGTAATTGCTATTGAGTATGCTATATACATGTTAGCGGTTGAATGAACCGATACTCAAATGCGTATCCTCATCGATGAGCGTAGAAATAGAAATGAAGAATATCATAATTTTGGAAGGAATCGAATCGGATTTTGGGATAGCATCGCAACCAGAATTAATCAAGAACATAATACGAGCTTTAATGGACACCAATGTAAAGAAAAGTTTATGAATCTTGTTCGGGATTACAATGTAAGTATGGTATATTAAGGCTCGAAGAGCCATTGCTTCGCAATAGATTTTTTTCCTAATTTTTTTTTGCTTACATCTTAGTTATTATGACTAATAATTTATGTCAATTAGTTGATGTGTGATTATATGGCAGGAAATCGAAGAGCACGAAGAAGTCGAACGGGTGCGCAATATTTCAATGAATTCCGTACACATTTTTGGGAAAGGCCTGAAGATGATTTTGATAGAATCCGTAACATTAATAGTTCTAATCGTAGACAACGCAGAATTGGGGGGAATAATACACCCGCACCATCTACTGGGGAAGTTGAACATGAATTAGGTCAAACATTACTAGGTAACCGAAGAAGCCGAAGAACCTCCGTTGATAGTCGAAGAAGTCGAAGAAGTCGTAGACGGTCAGCATCTCCATCTCCGCCCCGTGATGCAATAAACACTAATACAAACAATCCTGAACAAAATATTGGTCATTCTGACTCATCTCTTCAACCACCACCACCTTATGAGGCCACAGATAATAATTCTTCAGAAATGAATCAGAGCCATGTTGTTTCTAACCGCGAAGTAGCTCCCTTGTCTCAAAACGACAGTGATGTTAGTATGTATGATGTAGGAGATAGTCAAACATTTTCTAATATGGAATCGATAAATGAAGAGGTTGGATAAATATTTTTTATTTAATAAAAATAGTACAGTTATCGCTGTATACATGTGAATCTATCCACTATTTTTTTTATGTGGGTAGCATCGCGTGATTTTGGCGAACATGTTCGCTGAATAATAAATAATCATTAGAATGAAAAGATTTATGTAAAGATAAAGAGTAAGTTACAGAAGCTATCCGATTTCGAATAACCAATTGATATATTACCTTGGTATTTTGAATTGCTCCCGGTAACCATTTATTGGCTCCGGGGAAGTGAGTGGAGATAGGAAGACCCAAGGAATGTACTTCCACGATGCGCAGTGAACGTATCTAATTCCCCATGATGACGTCCACTATAGTATATCACTGAATCATGATTTACTTTATTGTGATTGTGATTGTATTACCGGTGAACTTTATCTAAAATGCCAAACCTTTTCAAAAGACTCCTCCAGAAAGGTATTGAGTCTTTTCTCAACTGTAGTGTAAAGTATTACTGTTTTCACGTTCACAACTGTATATCAATAGTCTAAAGCGTAAACGTCCTGATACTGGCTTGCAAGAGTGGTACAGGTCAGGTAGGTAAAAATTGAATTTGGGAACGAACTACAAAAATTACCTGACTGGTACCCTCGGATGTTTAGACGTACAACATCTTCCCCTGGCCTTTCAAGACCCTACCATCGCGACCATTGTCCTCGTGCATTAAGCAAAAGGATGCCAGCCCTTGTGTTTCAATGGAATGATGCAGGATTTAATGACAACCCGGCTGTGGCGAACTGCCGAAATGGAGTTGCAGATCAAACGAAAATGGCTTTCATTGCAACTCTCGTGGCAAATGGTGCTGTCAATTGGAATAACACCGTTTTCACATTTCGAAATGGCACAGCCATTGGTGCATGGGTACGGGCAATTCCTCCGTGGCATGTGACATTTATTTCATGTGTTTTTTATAGTATCAGCTTATCCTGTCACATATCACTTTATTTGCCAAAGGGCCTACCATCAGATGGTTGCTCCTGACATCTGTCATTCCGTTATCAGAATTACAAAGATAAATCGCCAAATAGATATTGAAGATTTCGGTCATATTCTCGACAGATAAACGTCAATTATCTATATTTTTCACCTGTGGAATACTAAATTACTTTTTCATATATACTCCTGATTCAAACAAAAAAATGTTCGATTGAATATATATGGATAATTATTTTTGAAGGCGAAAAAAATTCTAGATATTCACTATTTTTTTAATAATACATATATAATACAAACATTATGACTACAATTCTAGGGTTCGAAAAATCCCTGTCCGCCTTCGAAAACAATTACCCATATGCTTAATTAACTCTCTTTCTGTCAGCGGTTTTCTTCGCGAGGCGGCTGCGCTCCCTCACCGTGACAATAGAGCTCTGTAGTGTCGATGCTTAGT